AAAAGTGCACTTGCTCTGGGGTAGGAGGGGATAGCCGGGCGTGGTGACAAATAGTTCCCTAAAGCAGCCACGCGCAGAGAAGCGCTCCAGGGTGGCTGTGTTTTCCTCACGCACAAGATCACCGTGTGTGTTTAAGGGGGGCCAGGTGCCAGCGCACCCAGCTCCGCGCTCTGTATTTTAAACCAAACCTATTACTAGTTCTGAGGAAAATGAAGAAAATCCCTACAGGCACCCACAGGCCACATATTTTAGAGTCCGAGGCCATCACCTTGGACTGACACCGCTTGCGAAGGGCTCTCGCCATCCACACCGTGAGGCAGCTTTTGATCCCAGTAAAGCTCCAAACAAGTGGAAGGGACCCCAAGAACGGCGTTTCCAGGCTCTCCGAGCCACGTGTCAGGCATCTTCCTCACAGCGGACACAAGCAGACTGGGGAGGGAGAACCGGTCCCGGTGATCAAAGCGCTACCGCAGTCCCTGTTGCAGCGGGGGTAGCTTGCCTGGCCCGTGAAATGTCCTGTTTGTCTTGGTTCTGAAGAATTCCCAAGAAAAATCCCATCGTGGAGTCACATTCCATCTTGGAATCGGATCTTCTCAATAACAGAGTTACATTTGAATGTTTATCACCCATTTTCACACGGGACAAAGACCACAGACGCCTACCGAGCTGCTCTGTGTCCCTCTGGTTAAATAATTCTCTGTAGTAACCGTCTCCCAAGTGCAAAAATACAAAGTTCCTCTCTTGCCCCATTTCCACAAAGATTCTCAGCATCTTTCTGGGTTTGGTTTGTCCTCTCTCACTCCGGAACCCTTTATCTTAGGTACTGCCTTTGCCACTGAAGAGGACTTCTGAAGTCAACCACCCCACGTCACGAAATGTTAACGCCCTCCTTCCTAGCCACAGTGTGACAGCAGCCAACCTTGCTCATTTTCCCACTGATTAAAGAAAAAAAAACCAACAACTTTTGAAGTTTTGTTGTGTTTTGTTTTTTTTTTCCTGCAGGGGAAGGGGGAGGAAGATAAGGGGAAGATTTATGAGAGCTATTATGAGCACCCTTATTTTCATCACTCCTAGCTTAAAAGGAATTTAGTTACAAAAGAACACGCTTTTTTTTTTTCCTAATACTCCCGTGCTTTGCTGGAAACAAAATCATGCTGTCAGCCAGAGATCAGGAAATTAAAATGACTGTGCTATTTTTAGCATCATTAAGAAAAAAAAGGCAATTACATTTCTAAAATTCTATTGTTGTTTTAATAAGGTGTTACTAAGAGGGTGTTACACATTAGGGCTTTTTAAAATACTTGCGCCTTGACCGTGCTCCTTTAATTATTGCATCGCCCTGGTACACATCCAGGCAGAGGAATTCTGTCACTGTATCTGCTCACGCATTCTTGGCCATTTAGCTATTACGTCAAAGCAAAGCTACGGAATCACGTGCGCACGGGGAGGGAGAGAATCGCCAAGCTGCTGGGCCACAGCTCGTTTTGCTGGGTTATTGAATGCCAAGGGCGGGCAGTCAGGTTATAATGGGGCATAATTAACACCGCCATACCCTGAATCCTCTTTATGTTCAAGTCACATGATAACCTCAAGGAAATGAAAAATTCCTTCCTGCTATTGAAACAAGCAAACACCATCTCCAGCTGATCCCTGTAATGAGAAAATAACAGCTCCTGTGCAGATAAGGTTTCAGAAGCAGGATTTTGTCCCTGTAACTTCCGCAGGGAAAGCTCACCGGCAGACTCCAGGCCTTTGCCTACCTTTGTTGGTTTTTTGTTGTTTTGGGTTTTTTTAAAGAAAGGTAATGCTTTGGGCTCAAGGGCTTTGTCAAGACAAGGTCTAGATGATTCAAAGGACCAGAGGTGCATTACAGAGCTATTTGCTGAGCCCGGCTGTAGCTGCAGCTGGTAGTTGGTCTGAAGAGGTGTGTAACAGGGAACGTCGACGTTTCAGAACGCAGCGCTGCCTTGTTAGTACTGGCAACAAAAAGGCCAATTACTCCATAGGCCAACAGGTCCCATGTTCTCCTCCCCCCAATGTAAATATTTGAAATAAAGGCATTTTTTTACTTACTACGTAACACCAT